CATCCAGCGCATAAGCTTATACATGCCTATCCCTATGCTTGCATCGCAAGTAAATAATGAGCTCAGTAATGGAACAATAGTTTTATGATAAACAAAACAGCACCCTTTTGAACTTTCATTCCACAAACCTTTACAGTAAAATCTGGAACAGTGATTGTCTTTCACTAAATCCTAATCAGGCCATATGTTCTGTCTTTGAGGCCTAATTTAGTTTCACATCATATTCCTCATAATGCTCATTTACCAGTCGAACGATTCATATGCCCAGTATGGAAATCAAACACCCATTTCTATTGACGACACAAATTACATTGGCTTATCCAATTCACGAGTTGGCTCACAGAGCCTTTGATTTATGCTCTTTATCTTTTGACTATGTACAAAGAAGTTCAAGTTCCTCCAGAAATGAAAAATGGTAACATTATTAACTGTCTTCAAAGATTTCTATGTTCAGATCCTTGCTGTCAGTCTTAAACGACCTTGGAATGTAACCTGACTATGCATCTTTGTGTTTTACATTTGGCCTCGGTTCATATTGTTTGAATTGGATTGTGATAACGTTTTGTTACTTACACAACTAGCTAACTTGAATTTCCACGCAGACGACTCAGGGAAAAGCGGTAACAAGAAACCATATTACGGCTTAAAAGCCTGTACAAGTCAGTGCTAAGCACGACTTGCAATCATCAAGAAACCTTAAAAGCTCATCAGTCTTATTACTAAGCGAATGATATTATTTCGAAAAGCTTCATAAAAAACTCTATCAATATTAGTCGCGAGATAAGTGGTGGTCAAACATAAGCGACAGTCATGTTTGCAACTCCCACGTAGCCTTGTAGTGTCGGAGCAACGGCATTTAAAGGTTTAAAGACCGTGCTGATACACAAATCATTTAAATAGTGCGGAGTAAATTCCGTTACATATGCCAAAATGTTCTGCAATCCTCAAAGTGGCAGTATGTTCTCCATTTTCTCTAAGGATGAAGTAACTGGAAGTGGTTCTAGTAAGGGAGGAGAAGCAAGATTTGTTCCGGGAAGAGAGAAGGACCTAAATTACAATTTAGAAATGGAACCTACTGCGAAGAAAAAATCAGGTGAGAGGATTTAGTTGAGGATCAAACTAGCTGTTAGTTAGCTAGGGCGATCTTGGTGCAAATTAAATCCAAGTTGCGGTTTATCCATCATTTAGGCCAGACTCGGAAAATGACCAGATTTCTAGTTGGATGTAACAGCTGTTGTAGATTCTGCCCATAAGTTTGGCGGTCTTTCGATTTAACAGTCGCCCTGAGAAAAAAGACTATTTTAAGCTTTTATCACACCTTGTGAGACAGCAGAAAAAACAACGACTACGATTTTCCATTTTTTGGAAAAAAAAAAAACAAAAAAACAAAACGATATTCCACCTTTTTTTTTCAAGGACAATTGAAGGAGATCACCTTTTTTGTCAAGGACAATTGAGGGAGATGACAAAGCAGTTGAAAAATGTCCGAGAGCAACTACGAGAGAACGATGGACAGCTGAAGGAAAGAAATGGACAATTAAGGGAGATGACTCAGCAATTAACGAATGTCTATGAGCAACTACAAGAAAGAGATGGACAAGCAGTTGACAATTGTCCGAGGGCAACTACGAGAGAAAAGTGAAGCACTCTCTTCTTTGGAGGAGCGACTAAGAGCAAGGGATCAGGAAGTGATTGAACTTGAGACATCTTTATCAACGACTCAACGAACGGCAACCAAACGTTCACGCCAACAGACACCTGACTGGGTGACTTCACGAGATCAAACTCATCTGACAGAAAAATGCCTTGGTAGTGGAGGTTGGGGAAATGTTGTCGAAGGCAAGTATTGTGGCTGCATTGTTGCCGTCAAAGGGATTTACGAAGATCTTTCGAAATCTTCCCCTTACTACAGGGAACTGTTTAAGCGAGAAATGAACATTGCTTCAAAATGCAGCCGTCCTTGCCCACTACAGTTTATTGGAGCCACAAACGATAAGGAAAGTCCTTTATTTGTGACAGAGCTCTTGGAAACGAGTCTATGAAAATTGGTTGAGGAGCGACCTCTTTCCAGAAGGAAAACGTTCGTTATTTCTCTGGATGTGGCTCGAGCATTAAACTACCTTCATCTAAAGAAACCACGCCTCATTATCCACCGTGACATCAGTAGTGCCTATGTTTTGCTGTGGCGACGAAGCGACCAATGGCAAGGCAAAGTATTGGATTATGGTGCTGCCAACTTTACGAAGGCGACTGTGACAGTTTGTCCTGGTGCTGAAATTTACAGTGCACCTGGAGCATTTCCTAAATATCAAAGTTTAAAGGTATTTTAATCGCCTTGATTGTAGTAAATTGCATCTCTAGAAAAAAAAACCGAGCTAAACTATCTGAGTTATATTTACTGGTCCGTTTCTCCACCCCTGAGCTTTAGAAAACTCATGGTAAGCTCGTATATTAGACAAACCAGACCGCAAGTTGCAATGTGTAACACACAAAAGAAGCGTCATAGCTCAGTCGTCCTGTTCCCTGCAAGTAAAAATGAATGTCCGACTCGTCTGTTATCAGCATCTTATGACATAGAACTGAAATCCGTGAACTGAAGAAATGACCAGAGAAAAGATTTTAAGCATCAAAAACGTCTTTGATGGAGATGGCGAAGGGCATCAAATGATAGATAAGATGGGAGAGGCCTATCCCGCATGGTAAACACTTTTCTGTCAACAACTTAAGGTTATGGAGGATGAGGTCATCCTCTCTTCCTGAAACACATTGGATATAGACTTCGGTGGCAAATAAAAAGAACTTATAAGGTGATTCCTCAGAATTGCATTGCGTGTCATTACGCTATATCAAGCACGGTGACCTATCTCTCTTTTTTATTGTAGTTCTCGAAACAGAGATTAGAAGGGGAACATTTTAGGAAAGTTTTGAAAAATCGTACGACAATATTTCTTTCTGATGGAATCCCTGAGGAGATGTAACTATTTTTTTTACCCCACATGTGTTAAGGTTGATGTGTACAGCTTTGGCGTTCTACTCTGCGAGATGTGCATAGGGATACTGCCTGATCGAGAAAGGCGCGAGGAACAGGTTGCCATGGTGACAGACCGTATGGAAGAAATCATTAGTGAACTTGAAAGACTAGTTTAAGACAGGTTTGATACAATTTGCTCTACGAACATGTTAGTCAATTACTTTTACTGCGGTACAGATAGATTAAATGACTGATAGCCCCTCATTTCTGCTTGTGATCGACATGAATAGCATTGTCAAACAAAGTGCAGCTTATCTCAAACATAAAACTACTTTTCAACAGTTTAATCTCAAGTTTTCTTCGCACAGCGTATTTTGTAGTTACATCTTTGATCTTTACTGGATTTCTTCAATCGAGTCTCAATATAAACCTTCGTCGCTCTGAGTCACGGTAAATTTGTTAAAAGTCTAGATTTCTATCAATATAATTATTGCCAGTAGTAGATAACAATTCCCAAGGACGCTTAACATATTTTTGTTCAGATGAATATGTAACTTTGTCTCATTCAGCTATATGATGATATCGCATCTTAATCTTAGTTAATTCCGAATGTGGTTTTATGTCCATGCCGGCGTAGAAAGATCACGACAAAGTGAAAATCTTCGGGAATATAAAATAATGAAGCAATAGAACGCACTGTGTATTGGTTTACAGACTTACCAACCCACCAGGGATGATAACCAACCCACAGGGTAACCAACCCATGGTAACCAACCCACCAGGGTTGATAGGAGAACACGAGGAAAGTTTCTAGTTCGCAGTCTGGGGTGGGGGTGTGTGAGAGTGATTCACAAACTTTTCTCATGTTCTGCCAACTTCGCAAGTAGGTTATTATGCCGGTAAACAGATGGAAAGTGTGGTATATTTCTTTTATATAATTAAGTTAAACTGCGATATTTATTTTTCGTTTACTGGTGCAATAAACGATAGTACTTTAGCTGAGTCATCGTAAGTTCGTTGCCGCAGGGGGATTCAGGTATATATAAAATAGGTATTTTATTCAAGACACGTTTCTACTTCTACTCAGGCGCTTATATGGTAGAATTTAGTATTCATACGGTTTTACAATTAGTTGTTGTGGACATATCAGAGACACGTACAACTTGCCATGTGGAGGAAGTTTCCAAAGCATTTCAAAATCAAATAAAATTCCCTTCCAAGAGTGTTTATATATGTTTTTATACAGTTTTCGAAGCCTATTTTTGAAAATCACGCATTAGTGTGCCAGTATGGAGCTTCAACGGTGACCCGAGGCCTCCAACGAAACGACGCAGGCCAAGTTCAATTACCAGACTTTGATATGATCGATTTGTGACTTTTTTCTGATGTGTATTCAAAGTATAAAAGGGGCAGTAATACGTTTGATATGCAATCTGGAAACCAAATACTGGGTATGAATTGAAGCTTGGTGATAATAAGGTCAAACAGTATATCGTAAGACGATAGCTAACAGTGTAATGTTTTTTAAAACCTCCTGTCAATCAGCCATCAAACTGAATAGTGATTATTTGACAAATGCGCCTGGTTTGACTGGGAGGTGAAAATGTCAAATCTGTCTATACACCTAGCAATGCATTCCCTTAGCGCGATGCACGATGTATAAAATCTATCTCAAGCCCCTAGTTCTGTCCATTTAAACCGTTATAAGATGATTTCCTAGACTTGAAATCAAGACGCGCTCATTTCATTACAACTGTTTAAATGGCGTGATCACCTGTAATCTCAGTGGTTGCTAAGATCACGCATAAATCATAATCTATAGACTGGAAAGAACTGTTCCTAAATCTTCTGTCTCTGACTCTTGTGGATTTATAATCCTCGACCAAATAAGGACGAAATGAAATCTCATTCAAGATTTGCATAACGCTTTCCCATCTGTCTCCAGAGATTTCTACTCCTCTCCCTCTCCTCCCTAAATGAAGAAATACGTGACACACTCCACGCTCTCTCGGAAAGGAGGAAAGGAGGAATGTTTGGTTTCTTTCGGAAAGATTATGAGTGCGAAAAGGTAGAATTCACGCGTATCACGAGTGATAATGTAAAGCAACTGAGTGTTTATTCTGACAGAAAATAAAAGGTTTATGAACATGATTTTCATCTGGAAACCTTTTTCTTTTAGATGAAACAACTTGTAGTTCTTTTCTACAACATAGACGGCACCAAACATGGGTAAAATGAACTGCATTTTCAACCGTGACAGCTCAAATAAAAAACCCTACTTATACAGATTTCTGACCTCAAAATTTTGTGTTTGTTCTTTTGCTCAAACAATCCAAATTGAGCGTAGCAAAGCTCAGAGGTTTTGCCTTTGTGTTGTTCGAAATGGGTAATAAAGTATTCGTAACTACAGCTTATCAAGCTGCTCGTACGATTCTGATTTGTTTGATTCGCTAAAGGAGATGAATGCCGAGTCAAGAAAAACCGCTCTGAAAACAAACATCAAAGATGGCGACGACTATGCGACTCCTCTCATCGTCGCTGCTCGTGATGGAAAGCTGGATTTTGTGAAGGTTCTTTAACTTTATGAGGCAAACATCGAGGCCCGTGGAAAGATTAAGATTAAAGGAGAAGTAGTAAACGGCTGCACGGCTTTGTGGACCGCTGCTGCTAAAGGTCATCTTGATGTTGTGAGACTCAAGATCGAACAAAACGCCGAAGTCGACGGCAGGACATCGACAAATTCGACTCCTTTGAGAGCTGCTGCCTTCGTTGGACACCTTGATATTGTGCGCTTTTTGGTTGAGAACGAGGCCGATGTAAATGCTCGCAATGATTTCAATAGTACTCTGATGATAGCATGGTACCGCGGTTACATGGATGTTGTTTCTTTTCTTGTGGAACATGGCTCAAATATACATCAGGAAGACAATGATGGAGATACATGTCTTCACTTGGCTGCGGAAGGGGGACACTTTCAGATAGTCGGTAAGCTGCTAGCTTTGGGAGCGAAATGAAAACACAATCTTAAAGGTATAACACCACTTCTCCAAGCCAGTAATGATTGTAAAAATGAAATGGTGGAGTATTTTATTACCCGACCAGAATGTACAAAGGAAGTGAGGATCAATGCTCTCAAGCTTCTCGGTGCCACCATTGCTAGTGATCCGGCTGATGCTTATGACAATGAGAAAGGATTTAGTCTCACAAAACGTGGAATTTAGGAGAGGTATGAGGACCCATCACGTCCATTGCCTGAAAAGAAAATGGAACCCGTGGAAGCTTATCAAAATAGAAGAGAGAGTCAAACTCTTCAGGAACTTTCTCTGCTAGAAGGCGATGTCCATGCTATCCACTTAGAGGGACTTCTTATCAGAGAGAGAATCCTTGGACCGGACAATATAGGATTGAGATACCCGATAAGATACCGAGGAGCTGTTTCAGCTGAATCTAAGGAGTACGAGCCGTGTTTTGCTTTGTGGACACGAGCGATGGAAATAGCCATGAGCTGCGATGTTCCAAAGACATACGACCTTGAGAAGTTCACAGTTTTATTTGCAATTATGGTGTAGAATGGACAAAATTTGAGTCTAAAAAGTATCGAGAACGTTTTCGAAAAATTGGTCGATGTAAATAGCAGACTGACAGAAGTGTTAAACGTATATGTGCACGATCCTTCGCAGTAAAGCACTATTTAAGCAATAGTGAAAATCAGACCTGAAAAAAATTCAGGCCTGTACGGGATTCGAACCACTGACCTCTGCGATACTAGTGCAGCGCTCTACCAATTGAGCTAACAAGCCAACTGGGAGCAGGCCATCAAATTAATTCGACATAAACCCGTAGATGATATAAACCCGTATCATCTACGGGTTTATGTCGAATTAATTTGATGGCCTGCTCCCAGTTGGCTTGTTAGCTCAATTGGTAGAGCGCTGCACTAGTATCGCAGAGGTCAGTGGTTCGAATCCCGTACAGGCCTGAATTTTTTTCAGGTCTGATTTTCACTATTGCTTAAATAGTGCTTTACTGCGAAGGATCGTGCACATATACGTTTCATAACCGCAGTTCATATATATGTATTTCATATGTTTGTTGTTTGATTTATCATCTACGGGTTTATGTCGAATTAATTTGATGGCCTGCTCCCAGTTGGCTTGTTAGCTCAATTGGTAGAGCGCTGCACTAGTATCGCAGAGGTCAGTGGTTCGAATCCCGTACAGGCCTGAATTTTTTTCAGGTCTGATTTTCACTATTGCTTAAATAGTGCTTTACTGCGAAGGATCGTGCACATATACGTTTCATAACCGCANCCAGGAGACGGGACCTCCATTTATTCGTCCCCATCCGAGAACACTAGAATATCTAACCATTACTTGATGTTAAAGAAAGGTAGCATTTTCTTCTCAATTATTTAAAGACCTTGCGTGTTGGTCCGGCCGGGAATCGAACCCTCGACCTCCCGCACAACAGTCCAGCGCTCTATCCACTGGGCTAGCCGGGAGGCGGCTAAGCTATTTTAAAACTAAATTAAGTTTAAACAGCAAACCGAAAATAGTAATTACTGACTGTCGATAATTCGGAAGGAATTGTGACAGTAAGAGCACACTAATCCCCAATTACAACTGTAACGATTTTGGTGGGTCCTTTCTTATTTTTGTAGTGTGACTCACTTTTTAGTAAAAGCTTATTTTATGATAGAATAGAAAAGATGTCAATTTAGAGCTCGGTAAAGAAAGAGAGAAAGATGTTTTTCCTCTTGTCATTCGAGACCCCATGTGGAATCGAACCTCTGACCTTCGGATTCCACGCTCTGATTCCGTACTCCGCTGCTCCGCCGTATGCAGGACGCGTGTCATTTACATGAACTTCGTAATGGGCCTTGCTCTCTCCGCTAAGCCGGAGTCTTTGTGGCTCAGTGGTTGAGCATTGGAGCGAAAAATATTAAGATCTGAGGTTTGATTCCTTGTCCCACGTTCGTGACAAGACGAACAAAATTCTACTCTTTGCGATGGCCAATTCACTCTATAAACTCAGTTGATAAAACCAAAACTACAGATGTTTTTAATTCGTTTTGTAAGCAAACCCAATTTACATACAAAAATTGCCTAGGTTGCTATGTGTTTTCTATTTTTTCTAAGGGTGAAGAAGCTGGAAGTGTAGCTGCTGAGGGAAGAAGAGCAAGATTTGTTTCTACGACAGAAAAAGGCGTAAATGACAATATTAAAGAGGAAACTGCGCGGAAGGAAATGTCTGGTAAGAGGATCTTATTGAGGAACTAATTTGTCAAGAAAAATAGTTATAAGAAAGAGTCACTTGGGGCTCCGTAATGAGCTTTTAGGTAACACTGTTAGGTCATGTGGGAGATCTGAGTATCTTTCACATGGGTAGCAGGCTGTGTGCCAAGTAATTAATACAATGTGGCGATTTTCCCATTGTCTAAGATCGGGAAACGAAAAGCTAATAGCGAAAAACAAACAAGAAAAAAAAACATCAAAAAACGGGTCAACATGTTTTTTTTAAAATGTGAAAACAAAGCCAGGCCATGAGCATAAGAAATGAAAGAACAAGAAATGACACTTAATGCCCGATTTAGGCCTAAAAACTGAGTTCTTAGACCCAAGCACCGCACCAGGCGCATAAAGAATATCTAGTGAGAAAGCGGATACTTTAAGTATAAAATGAAAAAAAGAAAAAAAGGGAAAGGGTACAGCGATTCCCTTCGAAGTATAACAGCTACAGTGGATTCAGCACCTTTGTTTGAACGTGTCTTGATATAACACTTACCTTGAGAGAAAGATGAGGACTTTTTAGCTTTCGGTTGACGCTCTTTAAGACAAAAAGCGGAGACGCGTTGTCTTATTTTCATAATCAAAGGACAACTGAGGGAGTTGACACAGCAACTGGAAAACATTCAAGAGCAACTAAGAAAGAGAGATAGACAATTAGGAGACAGAGATGGACAACTGAGGGAGATGACACAGCAGTTGACAAATGCCCAGAGGCAGCTACAAGAAAGAGAGGAACAACTAAGAGACAGAGATGGACAAGTACGAGAGAGAGAGATGGACAACTTAGAGAGAGAGATGATCAAGTTAGCGAGATGACAAAGCAGTTGACAACTGTTCGCGGCCAACTACTGGAAAAAATTGGAGAAGTTACCTCTTTGGGAAAACTGCTGAAGGCCGGACAACACGAAATAGATGAATTGGAGATGTCTCTTTCAGCAGCTCAAAGAGCGTTAAATGAACGTTCACACCATCAGACTCCTGATTGGGTCATTTCACGCGATCAGATTCAGCTGACCGGCAAATGCCTCGGTAAAGGAGGCTGGAGAGGTGTTGTCGAAGGCAAATACTGTGGCTGTGCTGTCGCCGTCAAACAGATGTACAAAGTTGATACTTTCTGATCACAACCGCAGACTGTTTGAGCGAGGGATGAGTATTGCCGCTAGATGCCGTCATGCTTGTTTGCTGCAGTTCGTTGGAGCAACAAATGATGAAGGAAGTCCTTTGTTCGTGACAGAGCTCATGGAGTCAAGTTTTCGAGTATTGTTAGAACAGCGACCTCTTTCCAATACTGAAGTGTCTGTTATTTCTCTGGATGTGGCTCGAGCATTAAACTACCTTCACCTAAAAAAACCATCCCCCATCATTTACCGCGACATTAGCAGTGCTAATGTGTTGCTATGGCGGGAAGCTGACCCCTGGTCAGGCAAAATGTCGGATTATGGCACGGCTAGTGTTGTGCAGCAGACCATGACAGTTGGTCCTGGTGCTATGATATACGGTGCATCCGAAGCACATACTTAACATCAAACTGTCATGGTATGTCTGAAGTTTGGAGTTATGTTTTTTAATTGTCTACTTGTGTTTGCAGTAAGGTATATCTATGGTAAGATATTGAATAAATCTGTGAAGGGCTCGAGACCAGAAATCTCGTCTGATCTCTGTCCATAGTCGAACCCTTTTTACTTGGTAAACCGGTCAGGTGCTTAACGTGATATCAGTCTGTTGGGAAGTTGCGGCAGGACGGATCATGAAAAAGTTAACTTCAACCAGCAGAGAGGAGTGGAGCTTATTTATCCACCTTCAGTCAGTGTACATCACGCAGAATGTCTATTGTTCTATTGTTCTTGAGGCATTTACCTGCAATGTAACATTAGCGGCGAAGCGTACACTACTGTTTGGTTTTTATTGGTTTGTTTGAATAGCAACTTTTGCATAGCAATAAGACAACATTTCTGTGACGTAAACAGAATGCAAAATAAGGGGAAAAACAAGGAGGAATAGATATTTAAAGGTATAGTTTTATAAACTAGCAAGCATGCATGTTCATGCATGTTAAATTTTTATTGTTAACCTCTTTTCGAGCTCAGGATGATGTTTACAGTTTTGGAGTTCTCCTCTGTGAGATTTGCATCCGGGAGTTACCGGATCCTGACAGGCGTGACGAGCAAGTTGCTAGGGTGACAAACCGTGTGATTCGAGCTCTCACTCGAGGATGCCTGCAGCAAGATGCTGAAGCAAGACGAAGTATGGAAGACATCATTGGTGAGCTCGAACAACCAATGTAAAATTGGTTTTGAAAAGTTCTGCTGTTTATCTTTACTTGCGAAAAGAAAAGAAAACACAGAAACCTTCCATCTAAAATGGCCTTCGTAAACTAGCTTTTTCATGGCCAGTGATAAGATGATATAACTTCTAAGACCTATGTTTGAGATGCTGAACCTTTCGTCAGCCGAACTTGATTAAATCGAAATAGGACTAGCCCAGATTGACAAAAGTAGGCGTATTGTTGCCGTTCCATGACCATCACAATTTTTGAGTTCAAAGACTTTCAGAGCTTTTCAGCCAAAAAAGAGAAATCATGAATCTTTAGTTAAAACAGGTAATTTTCAGAAAACACAAGTAATTATTAACTAGTACGCAATGAGTTTGGCACATGATAAGTGGGGCATTAGAATTAAAACTGTTCCAAAGTCAAAATTCCTTGTAATCTATGCGAGATAAATAGCTTACGTGTTCAAGATATTGTGTTACATGAAATAGGGATATTTAAAGCTTCTTAAAAGTATACCCGTGTTGACTTAAGTTAGGGACTCCTCGTTATGATGACCTAATAACACTGGTTTTGACCCAGTTGTCATTTATAACTCTGCGACTTGTATGTCCAGCAGCTCTTTGTTAAGTTGTTGATATTATCGATAAGGGTGTAATTGAACTTTTTCTTAGTGCAATACAGAAGGCGTTAACGTGTTAGGTAGCTAAGGAAGCTTTCCATCCCAAATTTTAACAAGAATGAATGAAAAGACGAACGTCAAGTGCTACCTCGTGTCTTCACTAATCTATTGAAAACCGAGCTATACACTTGGCACTGTCTCGTTAAATTTAGAGATCCTCGGTAAAACGATCCTTTCTATATTACACTAAATTCCATATCTCATTTTTGTCGGCTTGTGGGAAGTGTCCGTGCTTTCAAGTGTGACTGATTGCCGCGACCATCTGCCATTGTAGCTTTGAAGTTTGGGTCACCGTTGGCTCGTTGCCAAAGGTGATTCAAGTATAAGTAAAGATGGTTTTAGTTTTTGAAACCTATTTTTGAACATCTCACACATGAGCCTCAGCGCCTCAATGTCGATCTGTTACTTGACACGGACTCAGGTCTCCATCGAAGCTCCCTAACAAAGAGATTTCGATGTGATCTATAGGTGGTTTTTTTTATGAAGTGTATTTCATGCCCAAGTGCGATGTGTGGACCAGTTACAACATACAGTCTTCCATGCAAATACAGGGTATGAATTCTAGCGTGGTTAGGAATCGAGATATGTCAAACAGTAGAGTAATATGATAGATAACAGTGTGATGATTAAGTCCGGTCAATCAGCTAATCAAGCTGAATAGTGATCATTTAGCAAAATAGTCTGTGTTTTGACTGGGAGATTAAAGGATCAAATATGTCTATCGATCTGTATAGCAGTACATTCCCTCGGTGCATCGTCCTAACCTAAGTCTTTGGTTTTGTCGATCTTAACCGGCTTAGGATGGTAAGTAAGTTAATAAAACCTGAAAAGTATTAAATCCTAGCAGCTTGAGGGGTCGAAGTCAAGGTTCGCTGCCTTAGTACTTGTTGTATGTGGCGATGGACAAAACACTAACCCCAGTCCACGGACTCGTCCGATGGACTGGGAATGAGCTAGCGTAAATTGGACTTACCCTTCAAAGTCCTATTGCAAATGACTTCTATTAAAAGCACTACTATTTATATTCTTACATTGCATTATCATTTTCTCAAATCGATGCAAGAAATTTCTCAAATAAATAGTCAAACCTCAACCAATTTCAGTCGGCACGGGAAACAGCAATATCGTTTTATCAGTCTACTCAGTCTCCGTGTCTTAATTTATGTGTCCACTCCAATGATGTACTGAGTGTGTTGCACCTGCTTCAATTCTGCTTCGAGATTCAATATTTACGCTCGCTTATCTAAAGCGTTAGCGGTGTGCCGGATTATGCATCATGTTGTGTTGTTCTGGTTCGCTCTCAATCCCCCCGCTGCTGTATGTAAAATAATGTATTGTTTTTCTGAGAAAAATCTCTGATGTACACGATAAAGAAGTTCTGAGGCGCGAAACAATGAATGTTGTTTCGAAAGGAAGAGGCGAAAGGCATATCGTTGATAATATGTCACGGTCGTTCATGGCCTCTCATCGAATTTCAAAATCATGCAGCAGAACACCTTTCAACTTATCTTTCGATCAGCTGGCCCATCTTCCTCCCCTCCCTTAAAACAGTAAATACGTCGTCAAACTCCTCACTTTCTTGGAAAAAGGAGGTTGTTTGCTCTTGAGAGGAGAGATTTTAATTGCCAAATGGTAAATTTACATACATTACGAATGATAATGTAACACAACAGGATGTAAATTGAGCCAAAAAAATTAAGGTTTATGCATATTATTCGCATCAGAAAACCTTTTTTGAAATGAAATAAGAAGTCCCACTTCGCTAAAATAAAGAGCGAACGAAAATCGGCGAAAATGGAAAAATCTAACAGAAACGGCGAACTGATCTGGTTTATTCTCCCCGTGACTAGTAGAATTAAAAAAAGTATTATGCTGGCAGCGTGTTTTGTTTTGTTTTTAATTAAAAAAACACTGAATTAAAATTCAAGCGTCCTGTTTTTAAGGTAAAGCGAAAGAGAATCTTAAGGTTTCGCGTTTGTTTTATGTAAAATGGGTAATACGACAACCGTTAGTGCTGAAGCAGACAATGCTGGTTCATCCGCTAATGACGGTTGGCCTGATATGAGTGATTTTTTACAGAAGATGAACCGCGACAAAAGAAAAACCGCTTTAGAAACGAAAATCAAAGATGGCGACGACTTTGCCACTCCTCTTATCATCGCTGCTAGTAATGGACAACTACGTTTGGTGAAGGTTCTTTTACGCTCTGAAGCAAACATCGAGGCACGTGGAACGGTGAATATTGGTGAGGAAGTTTTGGAGGGTTGTACACCTTTGTTGGCGGCTGCTGCTAAAGGTCATCTTGACGTTGTAAGACTCTTGATCAAACAAAACGCGAAAGTCGACAGCGGAGCTTCACTGAGAATTGCTACCTTCGACGGGTGCCTTGTTACTGTGAGTCGTTCGGTTGAGAACGGAGCATATAAGGATGTTTGCACAACGCACAACTAATACTCCTCTGATGATTGCAAGCTACAAGGGCCACCTAGATGTTGTTTCCTATCTTGTCGAACGTGGCGCAAATACAGAGCTGCAGGACAACAATGGAGACACATGTCTTCACTTTGCCGCGAGGTGGGGAAATGTCGAGGTAGTTGGCAAGCTGCTCGCCTTAGGAGCGAAACAGAAGAGGAATCTTAAAGGTCTAACGCCACTTCTCGAAACCAGTACCGATTGTAAAGTTGAAATGGTGGAGCATTTCATCATCCAACCAGAATGTACGAAGGAACAGAGGATCGATGCTCTTGAACTTCTGGGTGCCACCATTGCTAATGATCGTGCTACTCAAAACATTGAAAAAGCATTTGGTTACATGGAGCGTGGAATGAAAATGAGGTACGAAGACCACGCTCATCCATTGCTTAAAATGGAAACGAAACCAGTGAAGGCTTATCAAAATAGAAGAGAAAGTCAAACTCTTGAGGAACTTGACCTGTTAAAAGGTGATGATCATGCCGTCCGAATGGAGGGACTTTTAATCCGAGAGAGAATCCTTGGGACTGAAAATACAATGCTGCTAGATAACATCAGATACAGTGGATCCGTGTTTGCAGAGTCTCAGCAGTTTGAGGTTTGTATTGGTTTATGGATACGAGGAATGGAGTTAGCCATTAACGGAGATATTCCAGTGGCAGAAGATGTCGGTAAATGTACAAATTTGTTTGTAGAAATGGTACAAGGAGGTCACCCACTAGGATCCAAAATCATAGAAGAGGTCATTGAAAAACTAGTCGATGCAAATGAAAAACTATTTGATGCAAATGAAAAACTGTCAGGGAAGTTACGATCTGGAAAATCGCAAAAGAGCCATGAAAAAGAGGAACAAGAAACATTGCTTTTTTATGCTCTCGATCTGTTGATGATATACATCAAAGTTAAAGATCCCCTGGAAATGAAAAATTCCGCCATAACCATCTGTCTCCAGAGATTTCTACGTTTAAACCCACGCACCCGTGATGGGAATACACTTCTGCACTTGGCTGTGCGGCAAGCAACTCCCTCTGTTGCGCTCATCAAAGTAATTTTACTTGGGGGTTCTGATGTGAATGTCGTGAACGAAGAGGGAAATACACCTCTTCATTTTGCTGTGACTCTCAAACCGGAACCTGAAGAAATGGAGACGTTAAAGGAGATTTTGGAATTGTTTTTAGTTAATGGCGCATTCACAAAGCTTGTAAACACCAATTATCTCTCAGCTATGGACTGCTGTGAGACTATGGACGCCCGCATGATTCTGCTCGGGAAAAGTAGACAGAATGCCATGGAAGTCAATGCCAATGTAAGAATGTTTTAAGTACTAATTAGCTTACTGGTAAATATTTCTTCATGAAAACAGAGGCGGCATAGCTAATGTAAAAAATCTTAAAAGCTCGTTATTTTGTGTTTATCAAATGATGTTATCTTAAAAGCTTTATTTCCAGAGCAGTTTGTCATTTTAGGGAATCATGAAATGGGGAGCTGGTAGAGTGTGGGGTAGAACAGTTTTACCGCGGCGAAACTCGGATGGTCAAACATACAATGATTGTTAAAAAACGCTCGCAGCATTTTTGTGCGACGAATCATCGACATGTAAGGGTTTTAAGACGGCTGATACAGCAATATATTAATCAGTATGGGGTACAGTCCATTACATGCACTGAAATGCTTTCTATTTTCTTTAAGGATGAAGTAACTGGAAGTGATGTTACTAAAGAAAGAGGAGGAAAATCTGTTTTTGTTACAGAGAGAACCCTGCGTGAGAACTCTGAAATAGAATCTTCAGCAAAGGAAATATCAGGTAAAACGATTTGATTAAGAAACACATTTTCAAAGAAAATAATTGTATGCAAGGTCAATAGGTTTCGGTGCTGAACGGCTAGGTAACGAAGGAGAGGGTACTTTTTAAACTGGTAACAGGCTGGGTATCCAAAATAGTCCAAAGTGCTGGTGTCCTAGCGAATTCAATTCCGCAAGCGGATATGGACCCCCCGATCCAAACCCACCAGCAGATTTAGACCCCTCGATCCAAATCCGGCCGCCGGCGGACTTGGACCTCCCTCCGCGGATTTGGACCCCAAACAAAACTGAATGGAAGCATCATCCTTTACGTTCCCGAGCGAAAGCGGTGAGGGCTAAGACCTGGGGTTAGGTTTTAGGATTGGGGTTAAGGTTGAGGTTGCTAAGGGTTAGGGTTATATGATACAAGCCATACTTAAAAAGAAAGTTTGGTAGGGGGTCGAAATCTACAAAGGGGGATTTAAATCTGATTTGGGCAGGGGGTGCAAATGTGGTAGGGGACTATGACAGGGGGCTCAAATTTGTAGGAGGTTGAAATCCGCTGTTAAATCGGCGTTTGATCTCAAAAACGAAAAGTTAAAACGAAAATTTAAAAGCCAAAAGAGTGAACTAGAGAGTGAAAAACAAAAGTAACCAAAAGATAACAATAGGAGAAAGAGCGGATACCTGGAGTCTAAAATAATAAAAAAAGGGATTTAACTTCTAAGTGGATTTAGCTACTAAGTTTGAAGGTATTTTGATAGAATACTTATCCCGAGAGAAATGGGGATATTTTAAGCTTTTTGTTGACGCTTTGTGCGACAAAAAGGTGTCAAATGCGTTGTATTATTTTTGTAATCTAAGGAAAATTGAGGGAGGTGACACAGGAACTGGAAAACGTTCAACACCAACTAAGAAAAAAGGAGAGACAACTAAGAAAGAGAGGTGGAGAACTTATGGAGAAGATGCAGCTGCTGACACTTCTCCAAGAGGGGCTTAAAGAAAGAGATGGGCAACTAACAGAAAGTCATGGACGACTGAGGAAGATGGGAAAGGACTTGACATATGTCCGGAGGAAGCTACAAGAAAAAAATGAAGAAGTTAGTCATTTAGGAGGACGGCTGACGGCGAAACAGCACGAAATAGACCAATTGGAGGCGTCTTGTTCAGAATTTCAGAGGGCATTACATTTGGAACGTTCACGCCATCAGAACCCTGATTGGGTCATTTCACGCGATCAGATTCAGCTGACCGACAAATGCCTTGGTAAGGGTGGCTGGGGAACAGTTGTCGAAGGCAAGTACTGCGGCTGTGCTGTAGCCGTCAAACAGATGCACGACGCGATCCTTTCTGACTATAACCGCGGATTGTTTAAGCGAGAGATGAACATTGCCGCCAGATGTCGCCATCCTTGTTTGTTACAGTTCATTGGAGCAACAAACGATGAAGGAAATCCTTTGTTCGTAACAGAGCTCATGAAATCAAGTTTGCGAGCATTGTTAAAGCAGCGATCTCTCCAGTCAGCTGAAGTGTTTGTTATTTCTCTGGATGTGGCTCGAGCATTAAACTACCTTCATGAAAAGAGACCATCCCCCATCATTCACCGTGATATTAGCAGTGCCAATGTGTTGCTGTGGCGAGAAGATCACCAATGGCGAGGCAAAGTGTCAGATTATGGCACGGCTAATTTCAAGGAAGACAGCATGACGGCTTGTCCTGGTTCTAGGATATACAGTGCTCCCGAAGCACTTACTGAGACTCAAACTGTGAAAGTATGTGTACGTTTGTATATTGGAGTCATATTTCTCATTTATTTATTTGTGGTTATAGTAAAGTATATAAAAGATAAGAAGCTAAATCAATTTGTCAAGTGGCAGGTACAAAGACCTTTAGATCTTTAAATGCAATTTAACCCTTTTCCTGTCGTGCTCTTTAGGTATAATCAACTCTATGGGAACTCGTGGCAAAACAAGCCAAAACCAAGGGTTATAAGAAAGAGTTAACTCAAACTTCCAAAGAGTAGACGAGCCCATATATCTTCTCTTTCGAATGCCCCACTACAGAGGTCATGGAGCTACACGGAGCTCTCTGTTTGGGTCAGCAATGAGACAATATTCCTATGTGGCGCAATAGATTATAGACAATTGAAATAAATCCCAAACTAGCCAGGACACTCATGTCAAACTTGAACCTTTTGCGGGCACTGATAATGAGCTCACATGTAATGTAAATTTTTTTAAATTTTTCTCAACTGTTTATTTTTTGAGCATAGCTTGATGTGTACAGTTTTGGGGTTCTTCTCTGTGAGATTTGTATCCGGGAACAACCAGAACCTGAAAGGCGTAGCGAGCAAGTTGCCATGGTGAATAACAGAGAACTCCAAGCTCTGATCCGGAGATGCCTGAGTCGAACTCCTGAAAAGAGACCAAGTATGGAAGACATCATTGGATACCTGGAGCAACGAATGCTCAATTGGTTTTGACAAGTTCTGCTCTTATATACACGCTTGCAGTCGAAAAGAAAAGCAACACGTACACCTTGGCCTCTTTAAAAGGGCTTTTTTATGGCACAAATGCTAAAGTGATACCTAATCTCATTTTTCAGTAATTGCAGATTTTAGTTGGACAGAAGTGTTCGCGCCTTTAAGTATGTGTATCTGATCGCCGCAACCATCTCCCAATAGCTTTTTTAGGTTGGGTCGCCGTCAGTCCGTTGCAGAAGTTGTTTCAGGTATAGATAGGGAAGAGGTATTAAGACTAGTAGCATTTTTTGCGACTACTCAGCGGCTCTTAGTGGTAGAATTGACGCACAGTCTTCATGCAGTTTTCATATCTTTTGGAAATGTCAAATGCAAGTATAATTTGGCATGTAGAAGACTTTAAAAAAGCATCTGAAGTGCCAGTAAAAAGTGAAATTCCTTCTGAAATAGCGGACAGGAAACTTGTTTTTCTACATAATCTGGATATATCAACAAAGTTGAAGTGGTAAATTGGCCACCGTAACGATCAAAAAAGCTGACGTTTCGAGCTTTAGCCCTTCGTCGGAGCGAATAGAGGAATTGTGGGTTGTGTGTGCTTTTAAAAGCACGAAAGATTTTTCTACACCTTGAGCCTAGACGGCAAATCGTGACTGAATACGAACGACTTCGGATTTTGTAATGCAGGTCTGTAACAAAGCACCTTAGCAACGATAATTTGATATGATCGATTAGCAATTTTTTTCTGAATTGCATTCCACATGTAAAGTGTAAACTAAGTATAATATGCAGTTGGTAGACCCACACTGGGTATGAATTCTAGCGTGATGATCACGGTATATAATATGATATGCGGGTGTGAGAAAATAATAATCAATATCCTATTGATTAACCATAAGAGTGAATGATGTAGCTAATGTTTCTTTTTTTTACTGGGATTGATTCTGGCCTTTCGATCGTTGTTAGAGGTTATGAAAAGACCTGAGACTACTGTTTGATTAACATGTAATGTCAGTATTAGGATCATATGTTATACTATTGTGTGCATTCAAATTAGATAAATCGTCTATAAGTAGCAAATACATTGTTGGCTTAATAATGCACAGCAGTAATATTCCACGATGGAAATTATTAAATTTTCAAGCCAGAAGAAACTTCGAAGACTGTTTGGCGTTTTTTTTTTATGTTTAAGGTGGACGGCCGGGCCCCCGATGAAGGGAGGTGCCGTGCCCGCCGACCTACATGTCTAAGCCCAACCCATGGCAGGCGTGCAATGCCTTAGGGATGGGGTCCACCAGAAACGAGGGTCACCAGACGCCAAACTCGCTGGGGAATCGAACCCCACCTCACCTAAAAATTACACACTCACTCCAAGGAAGAACGCACTCACAATAATAATAGCAGACCAAAACGATAATAATAGCCCCTAGCCAGCCAAGGGGTGGCACTGGAAAAAACCAAAACGATAATCATAGCCCCTAGCCAGACAAGGGGAGGCACCAGAAAAAACCAAAACAATAATCATAGCCCCTAGCCAGCCAAGGGGAGGCACAACAAAAACCAAAACAGCTAAAAAGCAAACCGGAGGGAGTCACCATGCACGGATGCAATGACACCACGGGCACACCACTGCCGATA